GTTTTTTTATTACATTGTAACACTAATAATATGAGTTTTGGTAAGCCACTTCTCGAATCAGTCGGCAAATACTCATGAACATACTGATTTCTTCATGGTCATAGTGATTTACTTGTGGATTTAGAAAGGTAGGAATAACTGAGAAAGATGGAGTAAATGATTATTGCAGTATGAACATGTAGAAATTGCTCCAAGGAGTGCCTCTTGGAATTAATAGGTGTTACTAGCTCAAGAGTTCTGCATGCTGATATTTCTGAAGAAATAATGCAAAATTCTGCAGTATAATTATTGGGCCCAGGTTTTCCTTTGGTCACAATACAAGTCACAAGTAACTCTTGACATATTCGTTGATTCCTGCTCAAGGTTACTTAGACTTTATTATGGTTAGTTGACATTTTGACTCAGGAAAAATACTTATGGTTTTAAAAAATTGAATTTCCACATTTTTAACTTGGAATTTGGATAAAGCAAAACAATTCATGATGGTCCGAACATATCTCAAAAGATCTTTGGGCGCATGGTGGGGAAAGCTGAGTTTGGTTCATGCTTGACATTTCCTTTGGCCATAGGAACTCTATAAAAGTCAGCCAAAAGTAATGATCGCTAATTCCTAATAGAGGGTACCTAGGAGTTCATGTATTAGCTAATAGCTAGCTAGTTGCTATCCAAGACTGATATTAGATCTGCCATCTTTGTGGCCATCCTTCCAATTTGACCTGTAAAATTATGTTTTAGGATCAGAACAAGGAAAACAAGAAAGTAGGGAATGCATATCTAAGGTGTGCTACAGATTTAACAGGTTACTTAATTGACTCCTGAGCTCATTTGTTTTCATGTTTCTTAATCCTTGTAAACACAACTCATGAGAAAGGTTGCTCGTGACTCTAATCCCAAACTCCCTTTTCTAAATTAGTATAAAAGGTGCACTCATCTGTCTTCCTGCCCTTAATTTTTTCTTATCCCTTTATCATTTTAGTAGAGTAAGCCTCCTGGAAACTTACATGTAGGATTATCAGACCGCTGGTGTTCTAGACTGGGAAGATCATGTGATCTTGGGAAATTTCAGACCTGAGTGTTAGAAGAAAAAGAAAAACTCAGTAGCAGATGAGCTGTTGGATCAGTTGAATTCTTCTGTTGGATATTTTCAGTTGGTCATTTATTAATGACTCATTCCATCATTTCTATATCCATTCATCGGTTGTTTGAATGATATCCAGAACTTCTACCAGTATACTATTGTTATTTGAGGCTATTTTTGGACATCTGCAATATGTTCTGAGATTCTTCTATTGCAATTGAAGGAACGGTAAACAATTGCAAACTGCTGATTTAGCTCCTTCACTGTTTGCTTCATATTATGTACTCCAACAGCCAAGCCATTTCTCATTGTAAAAGTTACTTGCCATAAAAAGAATTTTTTTCCTTTGGGAGTGAAGTTAAAGCAGGTTCCTTGTTTCATTTTATGCTTTATTATGGTTTGGTGTTCAGGATATCATAGAACATCTAACAACTGTTCATCTCTCACGATGTGAACGTGGAAAGCGCTGTTTATACGAAGGTTCAACTCCACCCAGCAGCTATCCCAATTCATGGGTATCCTTCTCTGAACTCTTCCTCATATTGTACGCCTTGCTTTCAGTTACTATCAGCAGCATCAGGAACTGGCCTTTGTTCATCGCTCATCATTCTCACTAAAAAGAATTTATCTGTTTAATGTTCCTGAGTAGAATGGCGCATCATACTGTACGTCTGAGCTTATAGTTCACAAGAATGGTGAAGTGCATACTTGGGACAGAGGCTATGATGATGAAGGCAATCAGGTGTAGTGTTCAAAATTGGCCGCCATTGTTACCTCCACAATATATTTATGATCTTGATCGAATCATTTGATAATAATATGTGCATGCAAGTGTGATGTAATTGCTTATCATTTCATGTATCCAGGTCTGGGGTCCAAAGGCAGGTCCTTACGAATTCAAACCTGCAACACCACCGTCAAGCTACGACTACATGTTTTCACCTTTGAACTTACCCTCTGTGTTGGCATTGGAGAAGACATGCTTTCACCTTTGAACTTACCCTCTGCATTGGCATCCGAGAAGACGACGGATATCTCTTTTGCAGTCGGGTTCATGATGTAATCCTGTTGGCATTTAAAATTTTATTCTATTTTTCAAATATTTGTTCTCCTCACGAACGAAAGAACGTTCCGAGAACACTGTTGAGTTAACCGCTCAGCATGAGCGAGAGATGCCCGGTTTGGCAGAATCTCCACCTCACAGCAAGAAGAAACCCGAACTCTTTGGGCGTACTGTTTTCTTGGATGCTGTGGTCCATTGGAATTTGGTTCCTGTTGTCACGCTAGAGGACGAAGGTCAGCAGTCAAGACAGGAATGCTTATACAAATGATCGATTATGCCCTGTCAAAGGAGAATTTGGCCTATAATGAAGAAGATGGTGGAGGATTGTACATAGCACAGCAGTTGCTTCAAGATGAGGCAGAGAAATTTATATGGGGCATGATAAAAGTGAAGGGTAGAGATATAAGTGAGCGAAGAAATGGGAAGAATGTACTTCGCTTCCTTCTTCTGTTTGCCATCATATAATGCTCGAGATTGGAGCAAACTACAACAATTAATTACTTTTGCATTAGTTAATCAATCAGCTGCTCTGTCGGGTTATGGTTTATGATGAATATTGTCCAAAGCCTTCCACACACCAAGAAGGCCAATCCATAAGCATAAGCCTTGCATACACGAAGAAGGCCAATCCATAAGCATCATCAGTGCTCGATAAGAGTTCAGATAGGCGTCAGAACAACTCGGCCCCTTAATAATTTTCAAGAAGACGAACGATTCCATTTTTACTCTTTTGGAGTTTTCCAATCACTACAAACATTCATCAGGACAAGTACCTTTGTCCGCACGCACGCGCCGGCACACGCATGCACGCTCGTGCGAATGATAACCATGAGACTGCCATTTATTCACATTTTTGGAGCAATGATTCATACAGAGGCTGTTATACTTTGTTTATCAAAAGAAAAAAAAAGACATCATATTTGGACACAAAATGTTTGTTCCACAGAAACCTATAGACACCCACCCAGTCCTTCAACCAATCATGAATCATATGCCTGAAACGATCATCATGTTCTTAACTATAACGCATCACTCAAATACGGAGTAGTGTTGTCACCAATATGGAGGACATTGCCATTGTTATGAACTTGAGGCATTGCATTCCCAGACCGCTGCTCTTTAACTGCGTATCGATGCTTGAGGCACAGTAGATAAGCCTAGTTCATCCTCCGTCTGTATCAGATCAAACAAACAGGTTACTTACACAGTGATTACTCGAGAGCAAAAAAATATTATCCAAGAGGCATTAGAAGATTCATATAGGGAAGTGGAAATACTATGCCTCAAGCATAAGAATGTCAAATCACCAGCTCAGGTTTTTGTTCCTCTTGGGTTTTTTTTTTATCATTAACATGAAAGAGGAAGAGATCACAACACTACACAAAAAATTCTTTTAGCGGATTGTTCTCGTGAACACAAGATAGTACACAACCATCACTGCTGTACCATATCCAGAAGTTACTGTTGTATTAGCAACGGCTTAATGAACCATTCAAAAGAATGCATAGTAAAAAAATTACCACTACATAAGCATGGCACTAACGCAAAACAAGATCATCTTTCAAAGATAACAATACATATCTGATATTTCATGGCATGTTAGACGTTAAAGGTGAGAAATTCTCCACAAAAGATCCTAGAAAATCATCATTCATGTCCAATGTTCATGCGTTTTACACAATTTTAATACCAATCAAGTGATGGATATACCTGGGGCGTCACTCTGTTGGGCACTGCAGAATTGCCTGTTGGAGCTGCAGGAAAGTTGAGTTCTGCATACAGATCGGGTTCCTTGTCTGGTTGAAGATAAGATGGAATTGCATCGGATTCTGTCTCTGCTCCCATGTCAGATTCCAGAGCATCTAGCTCTGCATTATCCAAACCAACAAACAAAAAATTGACATGATAAATTACACAAAGAATCATGCAGAAAATAACTCTGCCTTCAATAAAGTACCAAGACAACTTTAAAAAGTAAGCCAAGATATCTAATGTAATATTATCGTACTATCATACCACCCAAGAGTTCTTCCTCATCAATGTCATCAGGGACATTGTAGCTTCTCCCAAGAGATTCTTGGATTTCTGTACTCATGTCCATCATATCCATCATCTCGTCCTGTAAACTCTGTGCATTCCAAAAATGATTTCAGATATAAAAAGTACCAAATACTGCATTTTCACATCCTTACAGTAAACTAACTTGTAGAAATTAGAAACGGGATGCAATCTTTTAGTACATACTATACAACAATAAAAGCAACATACATCTATGCCTGAGATATTCACAGTTTTCATCATCCCTTTCAACTCCTTGTTAGCTGACTTCAACGCTGACATCTGAAGAAGTCAAATGGTTTATTTGTGTATCAGCAAAAGCAAATGCTCTTAGAAAAATTAAATTCTAAAAGGAAGCCTGTACAACATACAGTCTGTTGAGCATCTTTAATTCCCTCAGTAGCAAAGGCAACTTGATCAAGGTTGAATGTCTGGTTATACATCATATCGCGCTGTCCCTCATACCTGGGAAAAAGGAATTGAAAATTGTCAATCAGCAAATAGATAAAGCATTAATGTGTGCAACATAATAAAATACTGGAAGTAATGCAACAGAATTATCAGCCAGCCATTATATTGTACTTTATAAGATGATGCAAATTATTGATTCCATTTATAAAACAAACTTTGTTTCAACAGTGCATACGCAATATGTAAAACATGCCCAGAAGTCATGTTGAGCTTCAGCCTTCAAGAGGAGATTTGTAGTTGAATATAAGGTCAAGACATCCATGATAAACTTTAAAGCTTCAAATTAATCTATTACTATGCAATTGCAAATATCTGTATACCTATAACTCATATAGGATGCAATCCACCAGAACATTGCTCGTTAACATATATACAATGCTGGAGCAACAATTAGTGACACTCTTAACTTTTTGGCAAACAATTCTCAACATACTGCCATATAAAAGATAGACAAAGGAGATCATTGCAGTACAACTACAAGTAACAGGTTTTTTTCAGTATACTCATATTATATAATAGCAACAGCTTTGAGAGGAAAATTATATATCATGAAGCTATAGACGATATGTCCTAGAAGATATGTCACCAGCATGAATGGATTCATATCAACACAAAAAAGTTGAGCAAAAATAAGCACATTAAATAATAAAAAAATACACCAGCATATAGTGATCAAAGTCAGTAACCAAGGAATAAGTTCATAATAAGAAAACCTGAATTTTCATATAAAAACTGAAAGGCTCAGTAAAAAAAAGGTTCCTTCTCATTAAGAAACCTCGTAAAATTAAAAGAAAAGCTAATCTAACATGACAGAGAAATAAAGTTGGAGATACTAAAAAACATAGAAAAGGGGCCAAATTTCTTTGCATGCATAGACTATGTAAAATATATATTCAATAAATGTTATCAGGTGAAATGCAGCCTAATGGCAGTAATAATCCATCACATGTAATCACTATTTGGACATCGGGTTTGGCTAACTCATGATGATAATTAAATCTTTGGCATGGAAAAGTGTATGATGATGATATTTACTATAAAATATAAAATAAAATTTCAATGGTCAAAGCTACAAGACTACGATGGAATCATATAAGGATAGAGTGGATTGTGGTAGATCCATAAAATCCAGAAATGGGATGCAGGTCAACGATATGAGTTATGTAATCAAAAGCACCAATATAAGAGAAGCCTTCTAATGCATGAAAAAAGATGCCAAACTAGGGACAATTTACCCTAAATCATTAGATGCTCTTAGAATGATGTTAAAGAATAGTAATGCCAGACAACATACACCAAAACTATGCATAGTATGGACACAAGCATGCCAGACAAAGTCAATAAACATTGAACAGATAATAGACAAACAAATACATATGCAAGTTAGTTTGGAGTTGATAAAAAATCCCTACATATTATATAAATCTGAAAATCACGACTGCAAAAGGAAAAAAAAAGACCTACATCCTCTTTTGCTTAAGAACCCTCATTGCTCGAGCTTTAACAGCTTCTTGAGCCGGACCTGGTCGTGTCTTCTTTATCTGCTCCTTATATCTAGCTAATTCAGCATCAAGTTTCTTGATTTTCTCATCAACAGTTTCCCCCCTTTTATTTATCTGAAACGAGGCCATTATTAATGAAGAATAATAGGAAGCACAAGAAATGATATTTACCAAACCTTCATTCAGCACGACTAAGAAATATAATAAACTACATAGTAGATTAAATTCACATTCAAGAACATCCAGAACTTAAATAGGGGACAAGTGCCTGCCAACTGACACAAGTCTGAAAGAAGAACAAGGCATGCATGAATCAGATACAGTATTGAAGATTAGGAACCTATAAGTGACAATCAAAGTTGTTCAAAAGCAGTGGGCGATTATAACTGAGTGAAGCACAGTGGCTACTGAATTATCTTGAGAAATCAAACATCTCATTTATCACCAAGTTCACTATCTACATGCCTGATGTATTCCTGTAGACAAAATCCGGACTGGCTTTATGTATTACACCAAATATAGTGTAGGATCATAAAATATAATGTAGGATCATAAGGAATGTACAAAACAGAAACAAAAATCAAAATAAGTAATTATATGCTCCCATTTAAACTAATACATATATTAGATCGTTCTTTCCAAACGTGATGATTGGGTAGAGAAAACCTGGAAGAGAGGATATAAAAAAAGATTGGGCATCTAGGAGTTTCTTTAAAGGGAAGAGAATCGTTCTGGCAGCAATTTCTTTAACTTATATTATCTCGTCTGTTCTCCAAATTCATTAGTCATCTATCAAACAGACGTCTGTTTACGGGCTCTGTTCATCTCCCTGTTAGATCATAAGCAATCCTAATTCCCATCATCAGTGCAATTGCTACGTATTAAAGAGGACAGCGCCTTGCGACCATGGAGATCGTAGGACTTATCATAAGATCCCGTCAAATCACGAGCGCCGTCACACGGATCGGTAAAAGAGAGATCTTTAAAGGGCAGGAATAGGATAAAGGGATCAAAAAGTAAAACCCTATCGGTCGCGTCCTGGATCGTCGGCGGCGGCTCCTTGTTCTTCTTGGCGCCAAAGACCCGCTTCATCTCTAAGCGATTCCAGACGAGCCTTATGCTGCGGCGACCTAGTTGAGGGTTTTGCAGGCGGGACGAAGGCTAGCAGGCGATGGAGACGGGATGAGATCGAAGGGGAGGTCAATAAGATCTTGAGGCTTCTTCACGCGGAAGCCCACCGCGACCGCGTCGAAGTGGTTCCGACTATTCGAATCCTCTCCAAATTATGCGCATCCACATAGCTTCTTCAAATGCTCGACATCGCCCTTCATCCTCCATTCCTCACATCTGAACCGTCCGTCTCCAAATGTCCTTCCCATCAACCGTCCAATGAGAGAAAATGGAAGTTGTAGAGGATCCAACCCTTACCTTTTCCTTAAGTTGGCCAAATGGGGGATACTTAACTTAGAAGGCTTTAAGACATTAACAATAAATATAAAATAATGTGCTAAAATAAAGATATATTAAAGAAAAGATTTAGTTTCTAAAAAGGTTAGAAAAAAATTGCCTTGGAAAATAAGAAGAACCCTAACTAGGCATCAAGTGATTCACACAATAAATCTAATGAACAATATATCAATGATGAGAATAATACTAATCCATTGCCAAGATAAGTCTATTGCAGTTTAGTGGGTGCTAATAAGATATGTTTTTTGAAATAGTGACAAGTGTTGATAAGATTAAACACCAAAAGAATGAGAAATCTTAATAATTCTCATCAAATTTAAATTTCCACCCCAAGTCTGCTTGCCATGAACTAATTTGTTAAGCAGAAAATGCAAGCAATTATCAATCTGATACAATTACTTGTATAAATTCCAAGCAAAGAAAAATACTCAAAATCTACAAGCAGTATGACTCTTCTTGAAGTATATTTCCAAAAATAATCTGCTGCTACAATTTCAACTTCCATAGTTTTATCCAATAAACTTCAAATCAGTGATTTTAGATCATAAGAAAGCAATTGGCAGCAGCCAAATCTCTCCTCTCTCTGTAAGTTTCAGTTATCACCCTATCAATCCTATCACTCCCTGAAAGGTAAAGAAAAAAAAAGCTTTACATTCCAATGACCAATTCACAAACTAGTTTGTACAAACAATAGGAAATAGATTCTCAATACACCCTCATCAAGATCCACAGAGTCATGAGCATAATTAGCAGAATGGAGTCCTCGGATGACCGTGGCGCCAACTCATCCGGAAGTTGCTATAACTTGTCAGCTATTCGGCCAAGAGCATCTGCAAGTTTGCCCAGAACAGCGAGCAAGCTGTTAGTTTGGTCCTTCCTCTGGTCTCTGTCCAATTGGCAATTAATGTTTTGAGCTTCTAGTTGGGCTGTCAGCATTCTACTGTTCATCTCTAGGACTTTAATTAGTCGATTCTGTAGATCGCTGTCTTCAGCTCCTTCTGGTGATGTTCGTCTTCGCTTTTGTCCTTCTCGTAGCGGGGAGCCCTTCTCAGGGTTATAATCTTGTTGTTTATCTTTTGTTGTAGCTGCATAGTTAAAACAAATTAAATAGTTTCTAACGGCCCATATAAATAGTATGAGCCAATTCTCAACAGGGAAAATTTCAGCGTCAAATATGCAAATAGATTAAGCATTCAATGTTATATTCTAAAACTTGACTATTCATGTAAAAAATGGAGAACATTCAATTAAAAAAATTTTATTGTTTACCGTGCGCATCAGTGTTTCATGAAATCCACTTGAAGTTGTTAAGGAACTCAGAACCCAAAGCACCTTTAGCTTGGTTGTGACAATGAAGTATGCTATTATGATTGAAAAACGATTTATTTCATTGTCAGCTTGTAATGTGGTTCACTTTAGTTTGTTTAGATTTCCTTGAAGATTCTATCTATTTGGCCCCGAGGAATGGTAAGGAAGATAACAAATACTATAAGCTGATAATAAGAAAAACAATCCTAAAGACTGATAAAGGCACAAAAAAACTTCAATTGCTAATGTCCTCTAGTATGATTGTTGTTTTAAAAGTGAAATTACTACGATAACTAGGGCATCATAAAATGAATATACAAAATTTATCTCACATGTAAATTGAAATATACCAAAGAGAATAATATGAAGAAAGCATCCTTTGTCTCAAGTACAGATTCTTAGCTGCAACAAGACCAATATACCTGCTGTGGTTGCTATAATAACTAGGCATTATCAAATAAATAGATCCAGCTTATCTTGCATGTCAATTGATAGATCATAGTTAATAATATGAGAAAATAAAACAACATGATGAATCATTCACGATAATACTACATAATCTTAGCATAAAGAAGAAGCCTTAAAAAATGGTAGAATATAATTTTTGTTTCGTCAACATATGTAATCAGATTTGAGTTGAGTTGGGATGTTAGGAGAGTATAACAGGAAATAAGACAGCTGCGGAGATATATATGACGACACTATCTGCTTATCACATTTCAGATAAATTTTCTTCCGAAACAGTTGCAGAGATTCATTGCTCGAACTCTTTAGGGAACTCTGGGAAGAAACATATGTATACTGCTTTATATTACATTATAAAGAGAAAAACCTCTAGTCATTCAACCTTGAAATATGCAAAGGTCATGGATTCTGCACCCCTAAATGATTCACTCAACTCTATGTTGCATTACCAAAAGGAAAACATTAATTCTCTTTTGCCCCCTTCGCACTGTGCGTGTCCTATAATTCCCAACTTTTTCACTGTTATCTACTTCTCCCCATCACCGATATCATGAAAATTTCTACTTCTCTCGCATTAATCACTCGAAATTGGGTACCAGTTAATACTAAAGATAAAAGAACATACACACCAAGCAAATAAGATAGACACAGTCAACAGAAAAAAAATTATGCTATTCCATGAAATACCTTTTAAAGGGCATGGAATGTGCTAAAACAATGAAATTTAGCAATTCAAGCATCTACAAGTGATGAAAAGGACTGACAAAAGCTAATAGAATTGCCAACCAAAGAGAGCAAAATCCATTACCTCGGTCAGACCCCCCCTGTTGAGATGATTCGCACTTCTTTTCTGCACAAAGGAGCAATGCAACGAAAAGAAAGATCAACAAAACAAGAAGACCTAAATGTATGAGAAAAAGCTCAAATCTTTATCAGCAAAGAGATGGCTTTTAGGCCAAACAATACTAATCATACGAATCGAACTCGAGGATGCCATCAACATCCATTTACCCGATATTGGTACAGCAGCCACCGGCTGCAGGGGCGGCGCCGAATCCTCCTCCTCCTCCTCCTCCTCTGCCTCCTTCTCCTCATCGAAGTCTGAGAACAATCCATCCTCGGCTGCGGTCCGCCCGCTATCAAAGACCGCCTCTTCCTCCTCAGCCCCCGCGGCCGCCGCCGGCCCGCTTCCGTTTTTCCCCTCCTCCTCCGCCACCGCCGCCACGGCTGCACCGTCGAGGATATCGTACACCTCTCGATCAAAGAATCCCGGCAGCCTCTTTTCCCTCCTGAGATCGCTCCTCATCGTCCAAAACGACTCCTTTCCCTTCCCTTCCCACTCCTTTATCTTCTTAAAGTCGCCAGCGAGGTTGCTCCACCGCTTCCGGCACTGCACCGGCCCCCGGTTCACCCCGTGCAACCGGCAGTAAGACGACACCGACGCCCACTTGGGCTCCACCGGCGCGGCTGCCCCTTCCTCCCCGCCGCCGCCGCCGCCGCCAACTCCCCGCCCCATCCCGCGCCCTCTCCCTCGGCTCTCCACCACCCTCTTCCCCTGTATTAGCACCAGTATCTCCTGCCTCGTCCACCGCGGCAGTCGCGGGGCCCGCCCTCCCCCTCCTCCGTCACCGCCGCCGCCGTTGTGGCCATTGGAACCACCGGCTTCGACGGCGTTAACCATCACCGAGACCGGCAACAGCCAAAACAAAAAGATCACAACTTCCTCGTAAAACCCACGTGAAGACTTAACGGCGGGTCAACGGAATTGGGAGGGCGCCGTTACGGCCCTCCATGCATACATACCCTTAAGAAAGGAAGAAACAGAGACAGAGAGAAGGTGAGAGAGAGAGAGAGGGGAAAGGCAGGGAAATGAGTGCAAGAAGGGGAGGGGAAGACTTGATTAGGCCCTAATTAACATTGGTCCTCCAATCCCTGTCTATATCTAAGGTGTCATTTAGTAGTTAATGAGCAATAGAATACAGCATGGGGGGGTGAGTAATTCTACACCATTAAAGATTAATTATGGGAAAGGCAGGGAGGGGGATATCCCTTTCCTAGTTTAAGGGTTGAAAAGGCATTCCCACCATCCTCTTTGTGTTGTTGCCTTCTCCCAATCCAACCTCCTCCTTTATCCTTGTTCCTTTGCCAAGGGGAAGATTTTGTCATGTGATTCTTCTCAATCAGCTTGATCTTATATTGTCCTTTTCTTCTCTCTGTGATCTCTCTCTCTATCTCTCTCTCTCATCTTTTTCTCTTTCTATCTTCCAAATATCACTCACTTAATATTGAGTCCTAATTTAAGATATTAAAAAATATTTTATATTTTTTTTAAAGATTTCAGATCTTAAATATATAATATTTAGACTCATACACTAAATTTATATATGATCTGAAAGATTAAGAGTTCAAAATATCTAAAATATTAATCCGATGCGTAAAACTTGAGAATTTAATCAATAAATCTAGAAATATTAGCTAGTAAATTTATTTATTTTATTTTATAAAAATTTATGATATAATAATAATAATAATATATCAACTCTGAGCTTCATAATATAATTTTTAATTAATATAAAATAATCTTAAAAAATTTTCATTATGAGCTATATGGATCTGTACATTTAATCATTATTGATAGAAATTAAGTGATAGAAATATTAGCTAGAAATCTTTAAAAAATAATCTAAAATAATTTTAATTGGTAGAAATATTAGCTAGTAAATTTAATCATTATTGAACAAATATCGAGTCATACTAAAAAAAATTAAGTGAAGTAAAATAATTTTGAAAAACTTAATTTATGAAGTACAATGATTACCAAATTATTCTAGATTTTATTATTTGATTATATTATTTATTGGAATTAGTAGGGTAAACCATAGGCGACCCTATGATGGGAGGGAGGGAGGGAGGGAGGGGTGGGACCGGGGGATGCTGTTAGGTCTACAAGCGACACGTGGAGAGCGGTGCCATTGACGTCGAAACTCCGTATAATATGAAGTGTTGTTTTCAGGTGCATTAATCTAAAAGACTAGTGTGTGTGGATTGGATTCATTGGAGACCACTGTAAGGGGAGATGGAGATGGAGTTGGATTAAGGGGGATGGAAAGAGGCATCCCTTTCTTTCCCTTCGTTGCAATGCAATAAACAATGTGGAAGCAGAAGGGGATAGAGGTTGGCTCTTCTTCTTCATGGAGGACTCGTGATAAAGATATTGGAGGAACCCAATCCTATGTATTGGCCTATCTATAGGCAACAACACTTGTATTTTTGTGTTGGGTGGAGGATCAGATAGGTCTGATCAACTTAGTCATGGTCTCTTTTTGGTTTATCTTTGAAGGAGAAGATAAGGATTAAGGCTCTCACAATCCAGTCAGGCTAAACAAAAAATGATGCATTTTTTTCCTTAAAAAAAATTAGCATTCTTGTTTCGAAAATAAAAAGAAGAAGAAAGCTAAATTCATAGATATTGTTTTTTTTTTAGTCGAGCTAATTGATGCTTATTTCATAGATATCGACGTTGTGGCTTCTTCAGAAATGAAGTTTGTAATCGATAAACTTTCAATATTAACATGATATTATTTTATGAGACTTTCGGTTGTTACTAAAAATTTCTCATTGTTATCTTCGATAAGAGTCTTAATTGTATCTTAATCTCAGTGTAATTTGTTATTCTTTCATACTAACTGTTGATTCTTGATAAGTTGTCACCTCACTGACTAACTAATTAGGCACAAGTTGTTTTCAATAGAGCATCTCATTTTTTCAATAATATAAAAGATTCCTCAAATTATAAATAAGACTAGTTTTGATGAAAAAAAAAAGAAATATAGTATTAGAACATTTATTAAAGATAAGAAAAACTAAGTGTCCGATGAGAAATTACAAAAAAAAAATTCTATGATTAAAGGTGAAAAAGATAGATTTTTTCTAAAAAAATTATCTCGAAAAAATATCTATGAAAAATCCGTACATAGAATTTTTTTTTTTGTAATTTCTCATTGGACTTTTAGTTTTTCTTATTTTTAATAAATAGTCTAATACTATATTCCTTTTCTTTTCCATTAAAACTGGTCTTATTTATAATTTGAGGAATCTTTTATATTATTGAAAAAATTGAATAAGGATATTGATCGTTAAGGTCAACCCTGAAATTTATTGAGGTCAATGTATGGATTTTCTATAGATATTTTTTCGAGATAAATTTTTAGAAAAAATCCATCTTTTTCACCTTTTTTTTTGTAATTTCTCATCGAACACTTAGTTTTTTTTTACTTTTAATAAATGTTCTAATTTTTTCCATCAAAACTAGTCTTATTATCATGAAAATCAAAACATGCATCAATTTTTAAAGCCATTATTATTATCATGAAAATCGATAATCCATAATTATCAAGAATCATCGTACATAATTTCAAAAATATATACTCATTAATCATAACTTCAAATTAAATATGATTTAATATACTCAAAATCGAGAAATAACAATGGACATCAACATGATACACATTATTACTTCTTAACCATGATTTCATATTTTCAATCAAAATCATTTTGTTTGTTTATCATAAAATATGTAATATTATCATTTTCGAAATTACTAGCATGATCATAATATATATATTTTAAACATTAATTCTAAATAAAAAAATAAAATACATCATGATTAAAGGTGAAAAATATAGATTTTTTTTTAAAAAATATCTCAAAAGAAATATCTATAGAAAATCCATACATTGACCCTAATGAATTTTAGGATTGACCTTAATGATCAATATCCTTATTCAAATAAAAAATATATTTTTTATAAAAATTATTTTTTATGAAATATCTTATTTTCTAAAATTTCTTATAGAGTGACTTTATTTTTTTGTTTGAATAATACAAAAAAATAGGAAGATAGTATAAGAACATTTCGAATAAAATTAGAAAAAGAGTAACTTTTTGTAATAAAAATACATAAAGAAATAGACCTTTTTTTTGTTGTTGTTGGAGTAATTCATCCTCAAAGAAATGCGTATGAAACATCTTATAGGTTGACCCCAAGGAATTCTAGAAGTTTGACCTTTATGACGTCAATGGTTCTTGATTTGAGGCAGTTTAGTTGGAAGATACGATTCCATGCTCACTAAAAATAATATTACACAGCACAACAAAGTAAGTGCGACTATCTCATCTCATCCGATGCCAATATGCCCTCCTCCTGTCAAAGGTGTCATGGGATAGATATGGTCGATCACAGTTGCGATGGATGGATTAGATCCACCCAATCACACATGACATATTGGATTTGTTGTGAGAGGATTTGGAAACATGCATCTGCCAATGATCACAATAGTCAAAGAGGACGACTTTTTCTTCACCCACTTTGGAGTAATCAAATGGGAAAGGATAGCACAGCCAATGGCCCTTCGATTCAGTGCTCGAGTCACCATTCATTGCTCTTTGGGGGCGGGGAGAGAGAGGGATCTATCAAAAGTGAATGGAATCTGTGATAGATATCAGCAAAATAGAGTCTCCTTTGGCCGATCTTTAAGCTGTGGAGTGCTCCAAAAGTGTCCTTTTCGTTTGGGTGAGTGCAAAGATTTGGCTTCATTGATATGGTGATGGCAGGAACGGAGTGTCAATAGTTAATGGAGGACAGTCGCTAGTGGAAGGTTTGGCTCGGAGAATCACACCACCAAGCTTTCACCCTGGCATCATCAGAGGTAGGTTAGTAGAGTCATGCCTCATCCCTCCCAAGCTCTATGCTTCCCTTTTTCGCTGTTGATTTCTGAAGAGCAGCGTCTGTAGAGTGCGTGCCATGGGATTCGCACCGGAAACCATAGAAACCTTGAACCATTTAGCTTGATCGATCTTTCACCATCGTAAAATGGACAGGTACCAGAAACCATTGGCAGACTCCACAACTTGCAGATATTGAATGCCAAGTGTTTGAGTTTATGTCGATTTCAGAAGCTCTCCTAGAATTCTTTGCAGGATTTGGTAGCGGGCTTCATTGGTGCATCGACGAGATGATGTCTGCGTGCGTGTGTAAACTGCTGCAAAAATATAAATGGTTGAAGGAAAAATAATAATAATAATAATAATAAGAAAGGGGGCATTCCGAGAATTGAACTCGGGACCTCTCGCACCCTAAGCGAGAATCATACCACTAGACCAAATGCCCTTTGTTGTTGACATTTTCAATTATATTAATTTATGTACATTTCTTGCCAAAGAAGAGTGTGTGACGAGATGATTCACAAAGTCAACACGGTGAAATAGGTGATAGATTTGCGGTCGATCCATCACGATACACTCCATTCCTTAGTCTCGGATGATCGAGGAAGATCAACTTTAAAATGGTTTAGCAATTTTTATTTTTATTTTTATGTTAGGTTTCCAAATGCCAAAAAAATAAAAAATCATTGTCTTTAATAAATAAAGCCCTTGGTTTATAGTTTACAGAATTATGATTTTTCTCTGCATCACATTTCTTATTATTATATTCTAAAAGAGATCAAGTTGTATAAATCTCGCTAAAAATTTCCAATTAAGTCAATATTTCAATATAAAATCATATCGAGAAACCGAAGAGTTGTTTTAATAATAGTATTATCAGGAATGATAAAACAATGCATGAGGTTTAGCTCAATGGATACTATTAATGAAGGCCTCTATCTTTGACATCACACAAACATAATACATACAATAACTATGAGAATCAAGAAACAGGCGGCTCAAGATTCTCACCTTCCCCTGCCTCTTCAATGTTTTTGTTTCAGATGTTCCATCATACTCTTGGTATGGATATACTTACATGAATCGGGCCACAAAAATGTTACAACATACTCGTTTTGAGTGTGCCGAGCTAAGTGTAGAATTTTGAGACACTGATATGACATATCTTCAACAGAAAGGTGATGGCATTTCTCTGTTCTGGGTTGTACGCCTGAACATCAGAAAATTTTATGATGAATTGTCAGACTCCGCACATTAATCCCTTGGCGCATGGCTGATTGGATGACCAAATGGACTAGAAATCATGATACATCTGAGAGAATTCATGCTGATTATCAAGTTGGTCATCACCTCCATCCATAAATGATGTAGTTGCCAACATGGGGTTTTGCCTAGGGAATAACAACTTTAGGCGAAAAGCATCCACGCCGTTCAGATAGTATCTGAACAGCCTTTTTGCCCTTATAAATCCTAGACGGCCATATAATGCAAGGGCTCCCTTGTTCGTCACTTCCGCTTCAAGTGTTACCTATATATTATCATACATATTCACACGTCAGCATAATGACACCCAGGCACAAACAGAGAACACAGCTGAAGTAAGAAGATTAATACATTCACTTCTGTTCCCCATAAGCAGGGTTGCACAGCGAGAAGAAGATATATCAGACAAATCGAAATTTATGTAACAAGCAACAATGAGAAGAAAAAGTCATAAACCAGACCAGAAAAGTATCGTTGCAAGGTTAGAGCCATGATAACAATCACTCTTATTTGTTTCACCTATTACTTTATAATGGATAATTACTAGAAGTAGTTACCTTAAAATTCTACTGCAACTGATGTTCATCATTCCTTCTTTATATGTAAGCCTATCAATGTGTCAACTAGATGCCATATATACATATGTATATGTACATGTATACAAATATGTATATGTAAATAACAACTAGAAACTATCCTTCTTGTAAAACAGCACCCTGTTTTCAAATGTCCTTGTGAAGGATTGGCTAATTTTAGCTGTTGCAAATAACAAAAAAGCAGAGGGGGAGAAAAAGTGAGAAGATGCAAGGAGAAAAGGACAACTAAAATAGAGGAAAGATGAAAATAAACTGGTAATTATTACCACAAAACGGAAGAAAAGATTTCTATTACTATTTCTTTTACTACTCACTGCAACCTTTGCATTACCGCCTACCATCAGTGTTGCAATCTTTGTCACAACCACATACATTAGGAAATAATATAAGAAGAAGAAAAAGGAGGATAGGTAACTCTTAACCACTTGAGGAAATTGGGATGTCATTAAGGAGGAGAAGACGACATCAGTTTCAAGATTAATCACAAATCCCTTGTGCTCATTACAAAGAAATGTTTTCCTTTATTTGTTTTGAGACACATCCTTATCTTCCAAGCTGCAGGTGAATAGGTTTGGATCCTTTTATACATGTATAACAATTATTTGCTATAAATAGTAGCTTCATAATGATGTCATTATATTTTTTTAAATAAATACAATAATTATTCTTCAATATGATTCATTGTTATCTCTTATATAATTATTTATTTCATATATTAGTCTCTTTTTTCAATTTACACATCCTATAGAATATGAAGGTGGAAAACATTTTACAATATACTGTTTATTCTCTAAAATTTATTTAATTTTTCTGTATTGATTTTGTAAACTATGCTTGTGATCTAATAATAGAGGAAGAATCTATAGTTCAACCAACTCACCCATTCAGATGAGATTTAGACATCTTTAAAAACCCCATAGAACCCAGTACAATGAAAAAAAAGGAAACCCAATTGTCTTTGATCCGCTTCCTCATCTGTTAAATGACTTCGCATCTTCCATCTTGGTCAAGCAATAACAATTATTTAAACAGGCTTGCAGAAGGACATATGGAAGAGAGTACCGAATTTAATCATAAAATTAGGTATGGGGAGAATCTGTGCCTTTGAATGAAGTGAGCCAGCTGGCAATGAAACCCAACAAAGCTGGGTTAAATAGTCTCTTTTGATCTAAAATGTGGTTCATAAATGCATTTGGATCCTAATCATACAAATGTTAAAGCCTGGGAAAAAATTTCTGAGAAGAGAAAGGTAATAGTTTGAGTAAGACAAGCAACATTCGTGTAGACTTAAGTCTGATGGAACAAAGGACAAAAAGAGTGACGCTAATATATGTTTTGCAGCATAAAATTAAGTGTGCAGAACAATTAGAAAGATATAGAATAATCATTAGTGTCAGATCATATTTATGAGATGAATCTTAACATAACTGCATTTGATTTGGTTACAGAAATGCTTCCATCTTCTACATCTATAGAATCGTTAACAGCATAATGCTAAAATCATAATAAAAGCAATTTACCTCATCGCACCCTGATTCCATCATCACTCTGATAGATCTAGTAACAAGTTCAGTTGCTGTAGCATAAAAAATTGTACAATGAGTTGCAGTATTAAAAGCAGTAAAACATATTCACCAAAAGATGGTAACATAAACTATAAAAGAAAACAGAAAGAAGTGTTGTGTAAGATACTTCCAAGAATGATATTAATTCCAAAGAATATCACACTAGCATCTACATCTAGTCATTCAACTTCAAGAGGTCCAAAGGAGAAAATTCATTTGACTCCTCAAAGGTCAACTCCTATTCATGCTTTGTGGAACTCAATATGCAAGAGGAAACTGTATATTGAAGGAACATGACCCCTAAGACAAGTATCAGGCTCCTAAACAGTTTTGATAGAGTTTTATCACTATCTTCCGCTGCTAGATCCTCCACATATGACAAGTCTCCATCAATAGCCCCCTCAAGATCTCTACAGGGACCAGGGCCAGCCAATAAGATTATCTAACGCTGACTAACAGACTTACGTACTGCCACACCAATGGACATTTTGTGATTACCAAAAGGTGCAGCAGCAAATTAATTAAAATTTGAGCCCTTCCACTATGTCAACCATCGCAACAATATGCCAGCTTAGCCTACATGTAGGCTAAGCATTCTCCAATTGCATAAAGATGCTAAGTGATGCAAAGTGGTTCTAGCAGCTTTCCACCGAAATGACCAAGCATGCCACTGATACAAGTAGTGCCGCACACGAGATATGGAACCCATCAAAGCAGATTTTCAAGGTGGTGATGAAGCAAATTCCTTGTTTGATTGGGTAAACAAAGGCCATTGCATCCTAGCAGTAATACAAGACAGACAGGCCAAAGACTTCACTTATGGGTGTTCAGCCAGGCATAAACTGGATTGACAACATCATCAATTCGAGGTTATTTTCAATTCTAAATAGATATTGGTCTATCAAGATTAGATTTAGGCAACAGACTTTCTATAAATAAGGACTTAAAGAACAACACGATAACATCTAGGGGTATTATTATCTATCTTCCCGCAATTTATTCTGTGATAAGTCTTTAGTTCTAGTTAGATTAATCATTGAGACGCTTCTTTTCTTGCTCAAACTAGAGAAGTGGAGGTGAGGAGGTTAAACTCCTAATATAACTTTTCAGAACGCCAAGAAAGTTTATTTGGGTCTTAGTTTTATCAACAATGCCTTCAAGAACTCTAATGCCGCATCATGATTAGAAAGTGCTCCCTTTTCCATCACCAACCAAGAAACAGTTCAGAGTTACTTACAATCAATAGCTAACATTAGTTTTTATCATGCAGTAGCAAACACCAAATCAACAGCCCAAAAACATTGACCAAATTTGCACATTTTTCATCTGAATCAGGCCAAAGAAACAATGTACATCACTAAGCAACTAAAAATGTTAGATTACGGTTGTTTTACCAATGCCTCTGCCCCTGTAGGGCTTGATGACAACCAGCATCGCGATGTACCCCCGGAAGGTGTTCCTATGATCCCCCATCTTGCATACCACCGTCCCCACGCACTTCTCCTTGTGGAACGCCTGGATTTCGCCACAAAATCAAAGAAATCGTCGCTCATCCGAACCAAACAGCGTAAAAACCATAGAAAGAAAGAGAACAGCTGGGAAATTACGAGGAAAGTGAGGTTGGGCCACAGGTAGACGAAGTAGCGGTAGGTGAAGATGGAGTAGGGCTCGCTAAGCTCGTCATCGACAAGCCCCATGATGAGCGGCAGGTGGTGCTCACCGCCATAGCTCACGTACTCGATCTCCGAGGGCGAGAACACCGCTGCTTCCTCTCCCCCTCCTCCTCCGCCGTCGCTCTCCCCCGCTGCTGCCTCCTCCTCCATCGCCCCGTTCCAAAACCCTTATTCTACGATTTTACCCACTTAATCTGACCCGGTCCAGACCGGCCCGAATGGCTGTCGGTTCGTGCCTTCTCCGGTTCGTATGGACCGGACGTGACCCACGTACAATTACTTGTATCGGTGATGTGGTTTCCATGGCATTGTGATCAGACAAAAATACGAAGAAATAAAACAAAATAAAAATTATACGATGATATTTATATGACATATCTCCAGTCTCCATTCTCACACTGCGGGTTTCGTGAGCGGCGTCGTCAAGTAGCAGAGCTCGGTGGGAGAATGGATTGGAACTTGAAACGATATGATCGATATGATGCAGGCGCCTTTAATGCTTTCGAGACCCTGTTTGCTGCAGGCTCGGCAGCTGCTGCTCCCGTACAGATGATGAAAGGGCATGCGGAGTTCGCAGTCGCAAGTCCAATTTCGAACGTCATCTGAGGCTCATCTTCGACTGCAGCAACAAGAGCTTGGACTCTTCGTTGTGATCAATCAGGTTGGCATCTGATCTCCGGTCGTCTCTCGCTCTCCTTCCTGTGTAATCTGTTTGGTTTTGTGCGTGTCAGTAGAAGGGAAAGGAATTAGAATATTTTACACAGCCACTGAGATGCATGCAAATTGCCATGCCACATGTTCGACGAAATGCCTCAGAGAAAGACGCTACCTCCGTCACTTCAATTCCATCATCCGTGCTTCGTTGGAAAAGGGTGTCCCCAATAAAGCGCTCTCCCAATTCAAGGTCTTCCTCCTATCAACGCCCTTTCGGCCCGACCGCTGGACATTTGCTCTTATCCTCACGGCATGCCTCCGGTCATCCAACCTCGACACCGCAATGGAAGCTCACGCTAGAGTCGTAAAGCATGGCATCATGACTGGAGCCTCCGTAGCTACTCCGCTGTTTCACTTGTATCTGAAGCATGACCGTGTAGCCGAAGCGCTACTGCTGCTCGATGAGATGTTGGATGAGAAGGTTGATGCTGTGCATGGGAATTTAGTGATCGTCAAGCTCCTGAAGAGCGGAGAGTTCGACAGGGCAAACCGGGTGTTCAAGAAAATGCCGGTCAAGGACTTGGTTTCTTGGAACTCCATGATCGCAGGGTGTGTGCAGAACTCACGTCCGAAAGAGGCCATGAGCTTCTTCGACCGGATGATGGGCTCCGGGTTCGAACCCGATGGTTTCTCGTTCTCATCGGTGCTTTCGGCGTGCGCTCGCGTCGGTGCTCGTGGGTACGGCGAAAGAGTGCACCGATTGATGCTGGAGAAGAGGATTCAGCTTAATTTTATACTCTGCTCGGCTTTGATCGACATGTACGCAAAATGCGGAAGCATCGATGCGGCTGAGGCAGTTTTCAACAGCATTGCAAGGGATAATGTTTCCATTTGGAATTCGATGATCACCGGGATGGCAATCCACGGGCACGGATCTGATGCCGTCGCATTGTTCTCTCGGATGGAGAGTGAGGGCTTGGCACCCGATGGAGTGACGTTCCTGGCGCTGCTGACAGCGTGCAGCCATACCGGCATGGTTGAAGAGGCTCGTAAACACTTCAGGATGATGACACAAGTGCACGGAATCGAACCAGGAATCGAGCATTATGGTGCAATTGTGGACGCCACAGCTCGAGCTGGGCTGTTGGACCAAGCCTACGAGACGATACGAGGAATGGCTGTAGAGCCTGATAGCATCATATGGAGGATACTGCTGAGCGCTTGCAAGAGGCACCACCGGCCCGACCTAGGTGAAGTGGCAATCAATCACATGGCAAGCCGCGGAAGCGGAGACTATGTGCTGCTTTCGAGCATCTACTCGTCGGCGAGAAGATGGAATCGCGCTGCGCAAGTGTGGGATTCCATGAAGGCGAACAAAGTCCGGAAGAAACGAGGGATGAGCTGGGCGGAAGTCGGGGGAAACGTGCACCAGTTCAAAGCTGGAGATCGATCGCATCCCGAAACGCATGATATCTACAGAGTCTTGGATAGCTTGGCGAAGAGAGCAAAGATGGAGGGTTTCCTGCCGATGACGGAGCTCGTGTCCATGGACGTCTTGGAGGAGGAAAGGGAGGAGAATCTCAATGTCCACAGTGAGAAGGTAGCTGTCGCTTACTGTGTGCTCAAAACTGGCCCTGGCACAGAGATCAGGGTGTCGAAGAATCTCCAGACATGCGAGGACTGCCATGAATGGATGAAGGTGGTCTCGAAGGTGCTGTCCCGTGTGATCTTAGTTAGAGATAGAATTCGCTTTCACAAGTTCGAGAAAGGTGCTTGTTCCTGCAACGACTATTGGTAGTGTTGCAGTCTGCGGCCGATCGATCTCCGAGAAAGATAATATTTTCTTGCTGCCTGGAACCGAAAGCAAAACCTTCGTGATGAATTCAACAGGATCTCATATGATGCTGCTACATCTTTGATTCTGAATTCAGAGGAAGAAGCCAGCCTTTTAAAACATAAGCTAGACTTGTTGCATTGGAAGCATTTGCCACAGAAGAAGTTCGTAACAGAGGCCTAGAACATTGGTGGCGGCGCCGGGAGACCATCGGATGTCGCGGCCAAGACAGAGCTGGAGGAGGCGTTGGCGTTGCTGCGTGCAAGGTGGCAGAGCTGGCGGAGCTTGGTGGGGACGTACCAGATGGAGAGGCGGGGGTGGGCGTTGAAGACGGCGTCGATGTCCCAACCATGCCTCGCCGAGATGGCCACCAGGGGCTTGTAACAGGCTTGCCTCCAGGCTCCCACGTTCTCGCCCCGCTCCTTGAAGGCTCTCCGCAGCGCGTTGGACGCCTCCTCGTCGAGGCAGTGGAGGGCGTAGCAGTGCACGTAGTGCCTCATCTTTGGCTTGTTGATGTAGCTGGCCCCGACCTTCTTGGCATATCGGAATACTTGGTTGGTCACCTGTTATGTTCAAGCAAATTAACAGATCACATGTGGTTTCCGATGGGCTGATGAACATAATCCGCATCGGTTATTTGCCGGTGGTAATTTTCGTCCAAGTGGGGAAACGGTGGCCGGCACGAATCTCGACGTGCTCGAGAGGACGTACGCTTTCGTGGCGCTGGACCAGACGCCCGCTCTTTGCTGTACCGTGTCGGACGGCGACCGGGGGTACAGCCCTGAGCAGTGGTCAAGTCGATATCCAACCCCCGACAAGACAAGTCGTCCTACGGTAGATATCAAACAAGAGGGTCCCGACGCGTGGTACGGTCAACGGTAAGACCAACATGGCGGCCCCACACATGGCATGCCCGACTAAGGCTCACGAGACGGGGGGGTGGCACGGTGGTGCTACGTGGAGGGAGGGGGGCTTACCTTGGTGGGGCACTTGTGGCCGTGCTCGCGGGCGAGGGCCTGCACCTGGAGGAGGAAGTGGCGGCACTGGTCGTAGAGGTGGAAGAGGTAGTCCAAACCGTTCTTCTTGGCGCGCGCCACCTCCCCCGGCTCCGTCACGATGAACGGGTGCTCCCGCTGCCGCTCCGCCCGCCGGCTCTTCTCCGACGTCTCCGAGCCGGAGCCCCAGTCGTCGTTGTCGTCGTCGTCGTCGTCTTCGTCTTCCTCGTCTCCCTCTTGGAACGACCTCCTTTTATTGCTCTTCTTGTTGTGGCCGTTGCTCTTGTGCTTCTTCGAGCTCCGCTGTTGCCTGCCGTTGCTGTCCTTCTTCGCCACCCCCGCGGCTGCCTCTCCGCCGCTCCCTGCTGCTTCCTTGTCGTGCTGCACCGGCTCCTCTGACAGCCCTATTAAGTTTCCGGGGTCACCAAGGACACGCAGGAGAGAAAACGTGTATCCAAGATATCGTTCTTGAAGCCTCAGCAAGGTAATTTGTGGTAAGGCAGACCTAAAGATAGCTAAGCTTAACGTGCTGCGATGTGAAGCGAGCGGAACGGCGCACCTTCTTGGGAGAGAGCGTCGAGGGCGTTGTTGTTGCCGTGGAGATGGTCGCTTGGGAGGAGGAGGCGGCGACGCGGGTCGCCGTCGCCGTTGTCGTCGTGGCGGTGGTGGCGGAGGAGCCGGGAGTCGACGAGGCGGCGGCGCTCGGCGCGGAGGGCCGCCTTGATGCCGTAGCGCTCGCCGAGGAGGAGATCCCACCGGAAGAGGTGCGCGAGGGTCGCCATCATGTCGTCCACCTCCGCCTCCGTCATCCCCACCAGCGTCGACGCCGTGAACCCCAGCTCCCCGATCCGCGCCACCGTCGCGTACCGCACCCCGTACCCCGAGAACACCTCTTCCAGTTCCCGAGGCCGCTGCTCCTCTACCTGAGCCGCCGCCATTGGCGGCTGAGGGGGCGGAGGCGGCGGCGGGGGAAGTGGCTGGAGGAGCCGGCACGGGTGAGGCGGTGCCTCTCGCGGCTCCCACTTGTAAACGTTGGCCGAGAAGGCGTCGCCCGGGTCCATCGGCTTGCCTCCTGTCGGTGTTCTTCCTATCTTTCGTGTCATCCTTTCTCCGGCTCTTCGTAGCTTCCTTTATAGCGAGGCAACGTAGGAGACGGGAGCAAATTTACATGCTTACCCTCACCGAACCGCTTATTACCTTTGTTTCGCCAACATATATCACTGTCCTCTCTTCATGCGTAATAATCCTTTTAAGTCTACAGCTAATCAAACTCCAAAGTGAAGTCAACACACAATAAAGTTAATCTTAAAAAAGGTCATTATGTTTATCGCAAGAAGTTTCGAAGAATAAATAGAACCTTATCTAATATGCTTAATTAATTAGAATTAAACAGCGTCGAGTCCTACGAAGGATGCCCTGCAAAACATATAGTTTGGAGTTCACATCACCAACATTGGATGGACTGATTTGATGGACGCAGGACCTACATTATAGGAGAGAACCCAAACTTGCAAAGCTATGATGAAACTGAGGATGACTCAATTCTGGGTTTTGGCTCTCTTATCAAGAAAGAGGAAAAATAGTTTTCATGTTCTGAAGTCCGGAATTAATTTGCTGAGTATTTAATATTATGGTAAATTTCCGAATTTTTTTTTTTTCGAGAAACGTTCTTTTTTTTTAATTTTTTAAATAATATATTTCTTTTACCTAATAAATAAGAATTTAATATGCTAATTATATTTTTAGTAATATAAAAAATATTATAATATAATATGTTTTTGATATTGATGAAAATGTTGGACTGTAATATGAGAATACTATAATTGAAGTGGTTTATATATCCTATGGATTAAAAAAAAAAGAGAGAAATGGAGAAATAGATTTGTAAAAAAAAGAGAGAATATTGTTTTGAGAATTTAAAAAAAGGAAAATTGCTATTGATATTATATAAGAAATTATTTTCTGTAGTAACAACTCAAGAAGTCCCAAAGGCCTCATGAGCGGCAGGTGGAGAGAGGAGGGGGGAGATGCCAATGAGGTAAAGATCACACATCCAATCCATCTCTTTAAGACCATGGTCTTTTGTGTCTGACTGATTCCTGCTCTGAAATTTTTGACCATTGACCACTCCGCAGGGTCCAAAACACTGTCCTGAGGTTGAAGCCACTCGACTACTCCATGGCCATAAAATATACGGGGGGGTGGGGGGGAGGGGGAGGGGGAGGGGGAGGCATGGTGGAGTTGTTGGGGGGAGGGGGATTTGCTGCTCCTCAGAGGGGAGGGGCTCAAATCCAAAGTGGCGGGAGGAGCACGTGAAATGATGAGCTGCCACCATCATCGCCGTCGGTGGTAAACGACAACCATGCACCTGCGGTGGCTTTGAGGAGGTACGACGACGTCCAGCTTCCCTCGTGTGGCGAACCAAAGAATATGATCTCTCTCTTTAGCTGCTGTTTCATAAAGACTGCAGTTTTATGTGCTTTGAAATGCTGCGTGTCAGGCTATTTTTTGTACTCCTTTTGCTCCCATTATCTATTTCTTTTGATTTCTTCCTCTTTCTCTCTCTCTCTCTCTCTCTCGTGGTTATGCTTGGGTTAGCTTTCTGCTAGAACAAGAGCTTTGATCCAGAGGGAAGCAATTCACAGAGCGCCTGCAATTTGGGCTGCAGCATTTGACCGAGCCATGGACAGAGCACCTGCAAACCATCTGAGGAAGAGTACCATGAAAACCCTTCCACTAATCTCTTCTGTTCGTTATTGGCGTACGAAATTGTTGGATTGACAACAGTGATCAAGAACATGATTAGAAAAGAAGATTCAAACGAGTTGTTTATTCTGATCAGGATTTTGCAACCAAGCTCCAAAAGAAAGCGGACAACAGGGGAGAATTGTAGAGAGAGAGAGAGATTGAGAGAGGGAGGAGGCACTTACAACGAGAATAGAGCTGAGAAAGGCTGCCGAATGTACTTGGCCACAGTCTTCTGTTTTGTCTCATCCTCCATTAAATCTTTACACAACAGCTTCCTGTTTCGGGGCGCAGAAGAGATCAGTGTGAGAAATGAGGCATAAAAGCTTCACACTGTTTGCGTAGATAGATATAAAGAACATGTCGTCTTCGGGTACGTCGACGAGGCGGACAACCGAGGGGGATCGGCCACAGTGAACAGAGCCGATGCACGCCGACGTACGCCATGGATGGAGGTGGCGCTGGAGTAGCTACAGTAGATTTTTACGTACGTGTACAGTGTACCGGAGGAGAGGAGGGGTAGCCAATCTCCGCCACGACGTCGAATCATCCTCTCATGCGTCTTGTTGCCGTCGGCAAAACCTTGATCCCCGGCTTCCGCTTTATTGTACGGCACGCTTTGAACAGTCACCATCACGTCTTGTATTTACAGATCTGATGCGGGGTTTTGGTCTGAAAAGATAAACAGGACGAATCATTGGCGGTAGCAACAAAAAAGTTTTCTTCTTTCTTGGATTTACGCATCATAAAACAACAAGATTAAGCTCTCTATGATCACAAAGCATCCACCTGTTGTGTTCGGATCAACGATGAACTTTAAGCTCAAGTATCACAGAGTAGAAAGACTGTTTTATAGTTTAATCGAGCTTAGGTTTTCCTCTGATGCTTTCATGTGCTGCTCTCAAAGGAAGACAAAGTAAGTAGAGTGAACTCGTAATCTAAAAGAATTCATGGCGTAAACAGGAAAAGTAAAGGAGCAGAAAGGAGATAAGCAGCAGGAGAGATTAGTGTGGCAGCCAAGCTTCCACGTTCCCATGCACTTCACAATTGGCCTGCGATCGCCACACTTCTATTACCTTCTCTCTTATCCCCTCGTCTCATGTAACGAGAGAGAGAGAGAGAGAGAGAGAGAGAGCGAGAGATGGCCCTTCAAGCAGTGGCAGGGCTGAGATCCACCATCGCGGCTTCGCGGGGGACCAATCCACCCAGCCATCCAGGCCTGCGCGGCCCCGCCGACCGCTACGCCCTCCGGTCAGCCGCCTTCTCTCCCTCCCTGCACCTCCTGCTGCCGCCACCGAGCCGATGCCCCGCCACGGCGCCGAGGTTCTCCATGCGCGTGGTGTCCAAGTAGGCCTACATCTGCCGCGACTGCGGGTTTCCCTTCCTTCCATCTGTTGCCTCTGTTCTCTCTATAACGTTGATGGCTAACATACTCGTCTGCTTCGGTGCTTTCCATGACAATGTACCTGCAGCTATATCTACAATGACAGGACGCCATTTGAGAAGCTGCCTGATAAGTACTTCTGTCCCGGCGAGTTCAACCTTTTCATCAGCACATTCAATTAGGGCCTGCAAACGGAGTTCAATCATTAAACCGAGTTCAGTAATCATCAAAATGCTTGCTCAAGGAATTTTCTACCACCTGCAGTTTGTGGTGCCCCTAAAAGAAGATTCAGGCCTTACGAACCAGCCGTAGCCAAGAACTCTAATGACACCGACGTCCGTCAAGCAAGGAAGGCACAGATCAAGAGAGATGAAGCTATCGGGTAACTTTCTACAACAACAAGCTGAATCTATTGTACCACCTAATTAGAGATGAGCAAAGATCCTGTAGATTTGTCATCCTCCTGACTGTGTTCTGCAGGCGAGCATTACCTGTTGCTGTTGTGCTTGGAGTTGCAGGATTGCCTGGTCTATACTTCTATCTCAACAATGTCTACTAGTCTGTTTATGCAGGAGCAGCTCCTAGTTTGAGCCAGAAGCAATTCACTGGAGAACTCCCGAACCTCTTTTTCCTGGTCCAATTAGAGGTCCTGTGTTATCGAATCTCTTTACCTGCACAAATGGTCAAAAGCATTGTGCTTCTACATTTAAGATTTTGTTTGTCAAAACAGTGAGATAAGGAAGTGATGGTAATAGTTGTTTTGTAAAGGCAAAACTGTTCAGATGCAGCCATGAATCAGTATATATTGGTATGTCCAGCTTACAATATAGCAGCAGTCTTTGGAATGAATGAGATATGAAGCAAAATTATTTGATGCAACACTCTTTCTAGTCAGTGATACAGTGAAAGTATACTTTCCCAGGAATTATAGATGCACACTATGTTCATTGGCTTTTCTTGGCTTGAACAAACACTATGTTCAGACATGGTAGATGCATGCAGTGGAAACTGTAGCTGAAGAAAGCATGAGACTAGCTGTAGCATCAAGATTCAACAGCAGCATGATGCAGAAAGCAACAATGCAGGACCAGAAGAGAGAAAGCTATGAGAAAAATAGGAGTAATTTGTCTTCACCAAATGACATACAAGTTGCTTTGATAATTCAACTACACATGTATATGATGGATAAGCAAAGAACTCTGATTGGAACTCATGCAGTAACAAAATTTTGTTTTGATTGATACAATACCTAGCTATAAGTTGCTTTAAGTGATACAACAAGTATTTTTCTGAAATCAAAATAAATATAAGACAAGTGGCATAGCATCACTTGGCTATTTTATGCACCCATTCATCATCTTGAATTTTATTGGCACATGATGAGCACTTAGCATAGTTCAGCAGTCTTTTCATGGTTCAAATATGAGTTGCCTTGGTAACAGAGTTGATGATTGTTGACTGTGAAACTGTGAAGTGTCTCCATTAATATACAAATAAAAGCATCTCAGAGAAATTAGTTCTTCAAACAAATGGTCTATTTATCTTCACTTTTCCCCTTCACTTCTCTCTAAAAACCCTCTGTTTCTATTTTTCTACCTAGTTGCTTCTGCTACATCAGATCTGTTGGACATCACTGTATATCACGGATAGGTACAAGCCCATTAACTGCAGATTCGAATACAGGGTGTTTTGCAACTGATATGTGTTTTACCATCACAGCAAAGGAGAACTGCAACTTTCTGCGGTTGAGGATGTTTGGTTGCAAATTGAAAAGACCCAAGCAAGCAAGATCACTGGGCCATATCAGAATTATCAATTTGAGACCTTTCTAAAAATGAAAAAGAATAATACAATAAGCTAAATTAGGACAATGTGACAGTGAGCAAATTGAAAATGATATAGGCAAGTGAGAGGAATAGGAAAAGGCTCTGAAGAAAAGTTGTTTGAAATTTGCTTTGCACTAAAATTTTCATAACGAGCAAGGCAAACTAAATCAAATAGAAAGTGACTAGGATCAAAAGAACTTCTGTTTTATTCATTCCTCTCTGATTTAGTAGCATAAATGTACTTGCAATGCAAATTGGCATGCCCAGAATGCTTGGATCAACAGCTAATCAATTGAAATTTCAACCAGTTACTGGGCTAGGGCAGATATGTACCCATTGAGATGGATAGCAAGATAATGGACAGAAATGAGAGATGTACTTTCTAATGCATTTTTATGCCTTCATGAACATATCCTTGAATATACTACGATAAGAATGATGTGGTATCCTTCTGTTCATCTGATTGCAATTAGGAGTGTGTAGTTGAACAAAAAGTAATCTTGCACATAATGCAATAGATTCTCTCTAGTCTGTTTAGGATTGCTCATCATCAAATATCTAGACAACAACTAGGTGTCCACATCAAATATCACTATTGTTTTCTATAACATGGACATTAGCATTGAGGAAAACATCGACTTGTTCCCTTGGTCATTTTTCCAATTGATGTATCTTGTTATGATGGTTCAAACATTACATCGTATAAAGATACTTATGTTTTTTAATGTTTTAATTCAAACATGGCAGTTTATAAAGATTCATGGAAGCTAAAGTGATAGCATTATGTTCTCTGTTGCACATTGCATCATCATGAAATCTGAATCACGAAATCAACTTTAAACAGGCTTTCAACAAAAACGAAATCAACACCCGATAGCTTTCTGTGAAAAAGAAAAAGAATCCAAAACCTCCAACGAAAACCCTGGATTCCAAAAGTGTACCAGGGATAAGAAGAGCACGACATCGAAATCTCTCGACGCCTCAAAAAGATGCTTCTTTGGATATCGATCGACGAAAAGATTGCACCTTTTTTGGAATTCTGAAGCACGAATCCAGTGGTTGAGGAATTCCGTCGAACAGGTGGTGCTGATTCATGGAACCGACCAGTGTATGAAACCCAACCGCACAGGCCTCCTGGTGTCTGGTGTGGAGGGACGCCTTGTTTGCTCCTCCTTCCTGCAACAGCTGCCGGCGGTGGTTGTGAAGAAGCTGAAGAGGAGATCGGAAAGATGAAGAGGCGTTGAGCAGCACTGGAGAGTTGGATAAAATCTTGGAGCTCTATTAGTGGAAAAGATTTTGCTGTGCATGCCCATAATAGATAAGATATTATTATTTTTATATATTTTTTTCATTATTTTACAATCTTTTTTATTTTTAAACTATTTTATTTTATAAATAAACATAAATATCTTTCTCTTCCTTTTTTTTTAAACATAAACATAAACATTTTCACCATAAAAATAAACATAAACATAAATATTTTATAAATATCTTTCTCATTTGATAAATTTTTACTAAAAGGATTCAAAACTTTTTTCAACAAATCTTTGAAAGTGCCAACTAATTTTAATTGTCGATAATAGGATTATGATTTCTAATCCATGTTTTCACCATTATTATTATTTTATTTGTTCGCTGACAAGAATCATGAAAGCTTGAGATGGTTAGAAATAAGCACGTAAAGAAATAAACTATACGGTGTAAAACCAAATAAAAATGTTGTACTACATAAATATTTTTAATTAAACACTGAGTGAAATGAAAAGGATAGATTGTATAGGGCACAATTTGGTAGCACGCCGGCTGTTACCCGACTGCAGTCACCTCAGTGCCAATGAAAAGTTTCGAAGTCGGTGTGGCACACCACGTCAATACAACGTCGTCTTGCGCAGAGTGGAACGGCGTCGCTCGAGTACGACGCCATCCCGCGAAGAGTGGAATGGTGCCACTCGGGTATGACGACGGTACCGCTCGAGTACAACATCGTCCTGCGAAAAGTAGAACGACGCTGCTCGGGCATGACAACGACACCGCTCGAGTACGATGTCGCCCCGCAGAGGTTGGGACGACCCTGCTCGAGTACGACATCATCTCGCAAAGAGTGGAACGACGATGCTAAGGTGTGATGACATCGTCCCCGCAAAGAATGGAATGGCGTCGCTCGAGTATGCCTCTACCCGACAAAGACAGGGACAACTCCACTTAGGTGCGACGCTACGCAGGACAACATGTGTCAACGTGAAAGGTATGGGTTCGCCGCTTAAGATGGTGGCGACCATTAAGAGGTTGGGAACAACCAAACCCCACAGGCAGGCATAAAAGCCCATCACTTGGCCAACATGGGAGAGGCTTTTTGACTCACGCATTCTACTCTCACTCATTCAACGAAAAGCTAACTTAAACATTGTAGGGGTCGGATCGAAAAACTTCCCTCCTGACCTCGACCTGTGTGCAGGAGCCCGACGACAGAAAAGACCAGCCTCGGGAGACAAGGTTTCAACCCGACCCGACGCACGAGCGGAGACGCGAAAGACTCTAAACATTGAGGACCTTGAGACAAAGGGCTACACCATACATGAGATGATCGACACTAGCTTCTGAGACCCGAGTGCTAGACCAGATGACCATGTGCATTTGGAATCGACTCTAGCTGTGCTAACTCTCCGGCGACCGCGTAAAGAGATCCTATCATATACCATACCATGAGACATATTGTAAATTTGATGATCAATCATTTTCAAGTTAAGTTGTCAAGGAAAGGAGAGTGTTCTAATATTTCTACTTCACCGTTTTTCCATCGCCATAAGATAAGCTACGGTGGTTCATTCCCCACGTTTAGGAAAGTTCTCTGGCCACCTTTTCTCCCCACATAATCATTATCATGAATTAATTTTTACTTATTCTCGATAATTACTAAAGCATACTGTAAAATATCTCATTTAGGTTACTAAGAATATTTAATATAACACTAGTTATTAAATTTTAATTCAATAGGTCGAACAATAAGCATATATAATAATACCATTATATTATTATTATTTTCATTATATTCGAGGGTGTATATGACGTTCAGTCCGAATGTCTCAATAGAAATATCATATTAGGCATATTGATATAGATTTTTGATCTATAAACATCAATTATCACATTAATTATAATCTATGCTTATAAATTATGATTATAATGAAAGTTTTGATAGGTAGGTATACCACACTAAGCTCGCAGCTCCAACTAACACGTCAATCGAAGCACGTGCCGACCGAGAGGTCCAGTCGTCACGTTGTTGTCACCGTATCGTCTGACTCGACTGCGAGTGACATGCAGTAAATTGATTACGTCTCATGGCAGTATTTGCTTAGCCCATTTAGGTACTTATGTAAGCTGCCACGTGGTTCAATACTAGAAGATGGGTTCAACCCATGTCGACCGTTGCCGTGCAATGCGTCGGCTTGGAATGGTCGGACAACAAAGTATAACGAGAAGAGATGTGTAAGCGCCACGAAACATGCACAGACGCGTGCATTTATTTATGTGAATATAGATAGATACAATTGCATCATAGCATGAAGGACAGATTCCCGTGACAGCAGCGGGAAAAGCTAGCTTGGATGCATGGCAGGCTCTCTCGTCCTTTCATCGGGCAGCGATGGGGATGCTGTGCAAGACTACCGTCTCCACCGTCAGCCCCGGGCCGAACCCGAAGAGCACCCCCCACTCCAGCCCCTCCCCGGTGGTCGCCTTTCCGTCCTCGGCGGATCGCTTCCTCATCTCGTCGAGGATGAAGAGCACGCATGCGCTGGACATGTTCCCGTACTCGCTCAGCACCTGCCGCGTCGCCTTCATCTTCTCCTTCTCAAGGCCCAGCTTGGCCTCCACCTGGTCGAGGATCGCTGGTCCGCCGGGGTGCACGATCCAGAACATGGAGTTCCAGTCGCTGATCCCCAGCGGCTTGAACGCCTCCACTAGGCTCCTCTCGATATTCTTGGAGATGAGGCCGGGCA